ACTTTGAAGATATCAATATGTAATACAACAAGCACTGTTAATTTCCTACCACTTTGTTTGTAACTCTGTATTGTCTGTAGTGTTTTTTTGCTATTTTGTAAAATGTTGTCTGTCTGTTAATGTTTTCCTCCTTTTATTTTTAAAATAAAAAAAGATATGAGAATACTTAAATAATCTATATATGAATATGCATATCATTTCAAACATACTGTAGTGTAGTATATTCATTCTCCATTATTTGTTAAATATCCACATATTTGTTTACTATATACTTTCTTTGCACTCTAAATGTATATAGTTATACATATTTCACCATATATTTTTACAGTAAAGATATTTTCCTCTATATTTGAAAAGTTTAGTGCTACTTTAAAAAATCTTTTTATTTGAAATATAATTTATCATGTTTTTCTTCTTAATAAGGATTTATTAGGGTTATTACTTTATGCAGACGGAAGGGTTTTTATGCTCATTGCAGACATGTCAACACTCAGACCAGAGAGGCTAATTATCTTGACCCAAGTTTCACAGCTGGTAGGCAAAAAAGCACAGCCAGATTTCATAACCAGATCTACCTGATTCCAGCCCTTCCGAGGTTTGTCCTCTGTACCCCGCTATGCCCCGTTCGGTTTTGGCTAAGCCTTCGTGTGCTGTTTCAGGTCTTTCTGAATGTCTTTACCTCCTGTGTACCCATTGTGCTTATCCTTTCCTAGTGCCCACACAACGGAGCTCTCCCCTCATCAGAAGATGCTGCTTTGGACTGCTAGTGAGACTGGTGGTATAGGCCCGGGGAAGCCAGTCCCGGGGAAGATGACCATGCAAACCCTGAGGCAGAGGGAACTGAGGTCCAGGAAATCCCCAGCGTGCCTCCTAGCCAATTACAGAGACGAAAACTGAGTTTATGACATCTGATGTTGACATTACTCAGAAAGCCATCAAGATTTAACAAGAAGTGACAATAGCCTGGTTTTCAGACACTTGTAAGAAGACAAACTGTGGTCAGATAAGTAGAAAGTGAATGATAGATGGATAGATAGATAGATAGATAGATAGATAGATAGACAGATAGAGCTATATGACTTCCCACAGGCTAAGCATGTGCTATACCACTGAGCTTCACCCCCAGCCCCAAATACATTTTCTTTAATTGGAGAAATGCATGATGCATGATCTATTCTGGATCCATGAGTCTCAAAAATGTGGTACTGCTGGATTGTGGGTTGTAAAAAGGAAAGGAGAACTACGTGACTCCTCCCTGAAACTGGATGGCACTCAAGGTACGGAGTTCTACCTGAAAAAGTACGGTGTTACCTTGTTCCTATCAATGGAAATTTTCTGAGTAAACATGGCCAAAGACTTAGGACTGCCAAACATCATTTCAACAGCTGTTCTGTCAGAATTGTTTTACAGTGGTCATAAAGAGGCATTACACTGGGGAAAGTACTCTCATATTAATGGATATGATCTAGAGAACAGCTGTGAAAAGTTAGTGAAACGATATGACATATATATTATGATACTCTGTCTGGAGTATCATAATAGTGTGTTCTCTCCTTCACTTTTGAGAAGACCTTGATTTTTTCTTATACAAAATGGAATCATTTTGAAATATTTAACTCTTAGAAGACTTTTTAATACCACTAGAATAAGATTTGTTTGTTATATAATTTGTTTGTTATATAACCTTAGGGAAACACTAAGGTATGTTTGGTAAACCAGATACATAAATTATTACGATTATCCTATGTTTTAGTTTTTCTTTAAAAGTATTTGTATGCTAGTATTATACAATGAGAAGTTTGCTTTATGAAATAGGTACAAACTTATTAAACTTTGTCAAAATTACATCTTCTCTAGTAGATTAAAAATACAAATACATTGATTTGGTTATTAGGACACAATATGGTCTTTTACTTATTTTAATTCAACTTTTTCCATAATTTAATTTTTCTTAATTTGATTACATTTTTACATTTGTTTGATATGCCAAGTCCCAACACTATATATGCAGAGCAAAGCATGTGTTATAAAAATATTACTATTCTTATTCTTGAGTTTATATTATTGCATTTATTAGGAATAAAAAGATTTGCACCTTGAGACCATAATGTTAAGTGAAATGAATCCGACGCACAAAGTTAAATATCGCGTGGTTTTCCTTATATGAGAAACCCAGAATTAAAAAAAAAAGAGGAAATAAAAGTGAGATCGCAGAAGTGGGGAGACAGACTGTCCGAAAGGGGGAGGGGATGAGGAGATGGACGGCGGGAAAGGGTGAGGCATGAGAAAAGGGACTGGGGTGTGTTATGTCCATGCACCCACTCCACACAAGGAATGTGGCCATCGTGTATGGCAAACACACACACAAAACAAGGAAGCAGATCAAGGAATGAAGAGGAGGGAAGGAGAAGGGGATGAAAAAAGAATCACGATGTGTTATGTCCATGTACCAACTCCCCACAAGGCATATAAAATTACGTACTACACACAGGTATTAAAACACTAAAATAGGGCTGGGATATAGCTCAGTGGCACAAATGCCTGCCAAGCAAGCACAAGGCCCTGAGTTCGATTCCCGGTAACCCCCCTCCAATAAAAACAAAAACAAACAAAAAACCCCACAAAAATAAAAAAGACATGCAAAAAATAAATTTTAAAAAATTACACATTTTAGAGACATCTTAGCACTTTCTTGAAAGATATACTACCTTTATAGTACTCCCTCTTGACATCTTTACAAAGAACTAAGCTGATTATCAGGAAGAGAATTATCATGCATTGTTATAGGTGTGTACCTTAATAAGGTAAATATGCAATGAACACGTAAAGATTACAAGCTCCTTCCTCCTAAGACTCAGGAAAATATTAAAGGGCATGGACCCAGAAGAGAGGGCTGCATATTAATTTCACTAATGGTGCGAGCATTTCTATCTAAATTCAGCACAAAAATCACAAGTTAGGCAAAGCAGAGTTAGGTACAAAGCCTATTCATGGTATTTTTCATGAATTTCAAAAACATGAGAGAAAATATTTATTTTACTTGAATACTTTAGAGAACATCACCTTACCCTTAAAGTTCCATCTTCTCAAACTATTTTCCACCATTAAAGTATCGTTCTTCTCACAAAGAGAAACAATTTTTAAAAGATAATTTCTCTCTTCAGAATAAACCAGCACACGTCTAAATAAATCTTAGGAAGAAAAGCCTAAGGTTTTGTTTTTGTCTTAGAAGGAAAAGGAAGAAACCTTGCCGTCCAGTGTGTTTGGAAATAAGGGCTGAATAACTCAGTTCTCCAGCGTATTTAAAGATATACAGAGACTTCGCTGCTGAATTTTAAAAATGAGCTCTTACACAATAAAATTGTGTGCCGTGTGAATGCATTCAGTAAGAGACTGGGGATATAAGATTCAAAACAGAAATACAGGTCCAATTTCATTTCTGAACAATTAATCAAAGCATTCTGATATAAGTTCTTTCTTTCATTTTAGCAGTTGAAAGAGTAGACTCGAAAAATTGAAACTTCGCATCGTTGAGCTCTAGCTCGGGAGCATGCACACATGCATAGGAAAATATTCGCAAAAAACAATTCATCCGCACCGTCCAGACATGCTGGGTGGCTCGGTTTTTGAAATGGTAAAAGAGCAGATTACCTGACACGCAGAGGTAGTACCTGTCCTGCACCGAGAACTCTATCTCTATGAACTCGTACAGATTCTGCGAGAGCGGCTTGAACAGCTTCTTCTCCAAGTCCTCCTTCACCAGCGATGACATTTCCTCCGCCTCCGCTCGGCCGGATTGTTGGCTCAGGTCGCGCTCCCCTTCGCTCTCCCAGCTCTTGCTGGGGTTCGCAAGGCTCCCGGCCTCGGCTCGTTGCCTCCCCCTCCGCGGCGGGCGCAGGCTCCGAGCGCTGCTCCAGCCCGGCTCTGCGGTGTCGCCCAGCGGCAGCCGGGGCAGCGGCCAGAACCGCAGCGGCGCTGGCCCCGCCGTCAGAGCGCGCGTCCAGCCCGGGAAGGCGGCTCTCCGGGGCTCTCCGGGGCTCCCCGACTGGGGAGCATCACAGCTCTACTTGTGGAGTCTCCTGGTCATTCCTTCTCCCCTTTCACAGCAGCGCTACGCAGGGCAAGGCCACTGCTTCATCCTAAAGCCATCATATAGATCAGCTGTCTGGCTCTATTGATTGGGATCAGCTTCCATTAAGAACTTTGCTCTCCTCGCCAAAAGAAAAGACACCGGTGCTTGCTCCCGACACTTCCAACAAGTCTCTTTCCCCTCCGGGAGCGCTTTCAGACCTGTGCGTCCACGGGCATCAGCACCCGTTTCTGGGTCTAAATTACTTTTAAGATGGAAAATCAGATGGGCTCGCTTTAATCCTAATTATTTCTTCACTCACAAACAAAAATATATTAGGTATCTACTAGGGTAAAGCAGTACATTTGCTTCTTGTGCGGGTGAACCTGCTGTCCTCAGGGAGTTTAGAGACGAGTCCTAACAGGCTACTCCAAATAATTATCAGCAACTTGTAAAAGTCCTGTGGCCATCAAAGGGAAGGCAGCGCAGCGTAGAAAATGTACACAGGTGGCTGGAAGGGCCTGCAGCAGTGCGTCGGGAGACGGGAGACGTCTGGAGCTGGAAGAACGAGAGGAAAGCAGAAGGGCACGAGAGGACGTGTGTACTGCACTTAGGGATCGGGACTGCACCGCTATAGCCCTGCATCCTAAACACAGGGGCGTGGTCTGCGTGAACAGGGGTCCTGCAAAACTCAAGGGTAGCCGCTGGAATGACATCAGGAGGTGGGGCTGCTAAGAGGGGCTGAGGCCAGTGGGCTTCTCCCTCATGGACAGGATTAAGGCCCTGGTGCAAGAGGCTTCCTGAGGGCCTGCCCCGGGCCTTCTGCCCCTAGAGCACACAGCACCCTGCTGTTCTGGAGAAGGCAGCTCCTGCCACACCACATCATGGTGCCTTGATCTTGTGCTTCCCAGCTTTGAGAACTGCCAGAAGAGATCTCTGTGCTCTGTAAATTACCTAGCCTGCGGTAATTTATTATAACAGCACAAATGATTAAGCCAGGGTTGGAAAGGACAAGAAATTGTCTTATTTTCCTGAGTTGTAGGACATGTAAATGGAAAAAATGATGTCAGAAAGAACTGGGGTCACATCGCGAAGGGCGTACATGCCAGGCTGAGCCTTTGGACTTCATCAGTAGAAGAAGGAGCTGGTGAAGACTTGGGGACATTTATTCATTCAGTAATTCACTAAACGCATTTTTATGGCCTTTATTGGCTGTGTGCCAGGCAGGCTCTAAGCTGGGGCTATGGCAATGAAAAAAGGCAAACCCTTGTTCTGTGAAGCTCAGTGGCTGGGTGGGAAGGAAACAAAGCAGTAGTACACTCAGGGTACCCTCAGCTGCAAGTAACAGAACACACAATGTGAAGTGTAGGTAATCTCCCACATCGAAAGGTCCACAGGTAGGCGCTCCCAGGGTCAGCTCAAGGCTCATAGCTGTGAGCCCGGAAGTGCTTTCCACTCTGCTGATCTACTATCCTCGGATGCGGGCTTCTTTTCTTGTGCGGGGAGGGCGTAGTCCTCAGGCTGCTGTGCTTCAGCTCAAAGGAAACAAGGAAGGAAGGGAGACAGGCAAGCAGGCAGGCAGGCAGGGGTGGCTCTTTTTTTTCTTTTTCTTTTTTTCAGGAAGCAAAATGTTTCTCAGAAACCAGCAGCAGACTTCCCTTTACATCTCAGTGGCCATAACTGGGTCACGTGGGCGTCCCTGAACAGAAAGTATTTGTCACTTTTGGCTACTATCATGGGAGGTGGGATTTTTCTAACAGGAAGGGATGGGAATGAATGTGAGCAGCCAACTGATAACGTTTCCCATGGTTGCTCTAAAGAAAAATTAACGGCAGGCCCACGGCCAGGTAAAATCGTGGGTGAAAACATTTCCTTTCAGGAGCCTTAGTTGCCTCATCAGAAGAACAATCACTAGGGTCTTTTCTTGCTTTCATTTTCTCCTATTTTGTCTGTGATTCTGGAAATCTACTAAACTAATTTGGGGAAGAGGAGCAGAAGAAATAGAAGAGAGGGAATGCATATAAGATGTACCGGGATAGAAAACCTGGAGCTATTGCACCCAGTGAGATGTGGAATGCGGCAGCAGTGTAACTACCTCACAGGAGGTAGTTTTTCAGAGGAAAAACTTCCCATGACAGCAGCCCAAAGTGACATTATTTCCAGCTTGTCTATTTAGGTTATTTTTTCCTGGATGTTTTAGTTTTTGTATGGAGAAAAATAGACTAACAGCAGTTGTAGCAGCTCACCAATATTCTCACTGAAATAATAACTAGATATTTATTTGCTTGAATAACTTTATGCTTTGTTCCCTTGTAAGTTCCACAAGAGCAGAAACCATTTATTTTGGACTCACTCTATTTCCAAAATATGCAGTCTGCAGTGCCTGATGCTTCGGATATTCTTGCATTCATTTCTCCAACCAGTAATTTATTTATAAATATTTACCAATCAACAAATAAGTGAATAAAAATAATGACTTAAGAATTTCTCTGCATGGCTAGTTTTGCCTCCTCAGTGATGTCTCCTCAGAAACAGTGCACACCTGTTAGGCTCACCCGTCCCCCATCCGGTATCAATATGCGTTTGTTCTTGTTACCTTGAAGACATGGTCTTTAGGTGTGTTCAGATGCACTTCTGGAGGAAACACTAATTCTCTCTGCAAGTCCTATGATTACTTCAAACATGAGCTAATAAAGACAAACTCTCTGCAAGTTCTTATGATTACATGTGCTGGTGAAGACAAACGGGCTGGGGATGCATCTCAGTGATTCCCAAACAAACAGAAGAAGGAAGGTAAAGAAGGAAGGTGAGGCTGTGTACTCCGGGCTGATCTTAAGGGAAGCTCCGGAAGTCACAGGGTAACAGTGTAACTCCTAATTTCAAAGTGAAGTGTTTACTGTCAACTATCAGTGCTCAGAAACTACTATTGTATTGAGTATTCTTAGGGTATTAATATGATGTACAGTCACAGAGGAAAAGTCAAAGTCATAATAAATGTCTTTAAGTTGCTAAATAATTCTATGAGAACAGTCTATCAAACATTATCTAAATTAAAGAATTTGAAGGGTTAAGCTTTAAAAGAACTGCAAGTGACAACTCATTATAAGTGGAAACAAGAAAAAATTTTAGTCTTTAATTTATTAAGAATACTTAATTCTTCTTAATATAGAGAAACAAATCACTAGATCTTTGGAAGATAACATCAAAAAAGAGGTTATAAAAATTTAAAACAGTATTCATTCATATTAGCAAATATTTAAGAGTTATTAAAACATTTTTGCTCATAGCCAAAGATTATCCTAGTCTTTGTGTTTTCTGAAATGTTATAGAATTGTCAGTGGAGATAAGGGCAAAACCATGAGAAAATGACATTTTTCTGGAAAGACTTATTTTAAAAATTCCCAAATCCCCCTAATGTGTTTCGTACAGGGAAGGAAGTTTTAATACCTATTTTTGCACTACCGTGGTGCCCGTCATCCAGCATACCAGGTAAAACAATAAAACATGTGTATGTGTAGACAGAGACCAGCTGGCATAGAAGAGACAAGTTACTCGGAAGGAAAGACCTCCTTGGACATAAGATCTGTGGATTAATGTTTGTGTTGATTGCAGACTGGAATCCTGAGTTCTAAAAAAACCCCGAACTGGAGGAGTCGACTGTAATTTCTAAGTCTAAGAATACTATAAATCTATTTTATCCTTATGACTTTTGTTTTCAAAGGTTCAGGAATGATTTTCAGTTTTGGAATTATGCGTCAATCACCACCCAACCTTGTCTTTAAATTTCTGACGTTCTTTTCCAACCACAGAATGACTTATTTGCTGTGGAGTGGGTACCCTAGTTGTACTTAAATAATGGGATGACCCCTGAGAGAACGGCAAGATGAATTTCTTTTGCACAGTCACAAATTATGGAATGACCGGTCTCCAGAGAGTTTGGGGCCAAGGCAGTTAATCCTGCTGTGGAGTTGGGAGGTTGCCGAGGCAGAGTCCTCAGAGCTGCTTTGCAGGTGTGTGACACTGTGCCGATAGAGGCTGGGCCCCAATTTCTGTGTCTTTTTTCAGACCCACACCCAGAAACTCTTTTACTTAAGCACAAGGCTGTGATTGTGTATGGCTTCACAGCATGAAGTACTTGAGTGACCTTCAAGACAGCAGGGAATGCCAGGTTCTGCGTGCTGGCTTTGGAAATATCCATTGTTTCATGCACCCTTCTGCCAAATCTAGGAAGGAATTACCATTGTCCTCGTTTTATTTATGAGAAGATAAAGCATTCTGTGGAAAAATGGTAGCCCGCATTACAGTTGGACAAGGAAGATAATCTCTGTCCCACATTTTGTTGCTTTCACGTTTGGTGATACAATGTCTCTAGTGATGAAATGTTACTGTAACTTAATCTTTTCATTAACAGACTTCTGAACTTGACACATCTTAAGGGACTGTACACGAGATTGAAAAATGCCACTTCTATGTTGTCTTTCTTAAACTCATCAGTAGGAATCAAATATCAAAAGGCTTAATATTCAAAAAATTAATCTTCTATTACACACATAAAACTTGATTATTGTAGCATATCATGATTCTTTTACTTAATCCACTACTTTGGCGATTCTGGTTGAGCGTGTATATATGTATGTGAGTGTGTGCATGTATATGTGTGTGAGTGTGTGTGTATGTAATAGTGCATGTGTGCACAATATGATGATTAAGGCTAAGTTGCAAAAAGGCATACAGCTTTTCCATAGTGTCCTTGCAGGACTGATTCCACAATCTCTCGCAGGACACCAAAATCCACAGACGGCTAAGTTTTTTATAAAAATGGTATAGTATTTGTCTACAATCTATGCATACCATTTTGTAGACTTTAAATTATCTCTAAATTCCCTATAATATGTTATTCAAGGTAAATGATATGTAAGTAGCTGTTATACTGTATTTTGGGGAATAACTATAATAAAATGTGTATATACACAAGG